TCCTCGAAGTTTCAAAGGGTGTTCGTAAGAAATTGCATTGTTGTATTTTCGTTGTCCGCTATAAACTCGGTGCTGGTTTTGGCTGAAGGTTCTTCACTTTCTCCTCTGAATGATGATCTAGATGAGGTTGCTAGTACACTGACTAGTGGAAAGTTGAGCAAATGGCTTGCTCCTGGGCTGTTTGTTAAGAGCCTAACTCCTCCTGCGAATGCGTTACAAAAAATCGGTGCATCTAATTGGACACCTACTACACACAAGCAATTTGTTACTCCTACTTAGGCCCGTGTCATTTATCGTGTTCTTTGCGGTGTTCCCTTTGACCTTGGCTCTGTTATGTTTGACACTGTGGTATCCTTTGCTGTAATTTCCGAACCACATAAGTTGCTGCTCTTTCCTTCTACTATTTGTGCCATTCTTTTTAAAGCTGGTGTGAAAATGGACCCTCGTGTGGGTGATAACTTTTCTCCCGTTTTAAAGCCTCTTGCTCTTGCTGGTGTTAAATCTGCTCCTCCTCTCTCTTCCCTGGTTAAGGCCTCGGATGTGCCTTCACAGCTTCGAGGTTTTCTGAACCAACAAGTGGTCGTACCGTCTAGACTTGAAAAGAAAATTGCTGATCAGAAGAGGTATTACAAGGAGGTACTCGGTGCGATGAAGTCGCGTACCCCTTTGGTGACTAAATCGAAAAAGGGGGAGAACAAGAAAAAGGTGGCTGCAGCCAAGGGGGAGACAAAGAAAGTGCATGCTGGTAATAAGGGGGGGAAGTCAAAGGCTGTGGAGAAATCCAAGGTCGCTGCCGCGGCCAAGGGAAGAGAAAAAATTGTCGCTGCCAAGGAAAAGAAGAAGGCGCTTGAATCTGAAGAAGGTTCATCATGCTTCTGAAGAAGATGAAGTGGATTCAGATGCTGAGGATGAGGAAGAGGAAGCTGCTTCAGAGGAAGACACTGAAGCTGGATCAGAAGAAAGCGGTCTGATAATGAGAAGACTGAGGATGAAGATGCATCCACTTAGACCCGTGGATGTTCATTTCACCTATGCTGTGTTTTGCTAAACTTGAAAAACAATTTGCTATGTTTTGTGATGTATTGAACTATTTTTTTATTTTCTTTTTTTACTGCTTAGGAGTACTTATTATGAACTGCTCTTTAAATGTTTTGGATTATTCAACATCTTATGTTGTTCAAGTGGACAACCACTCCTTTGCATATTTTCTTAGAATAGATTATGTGTGTATATATGCAAGACTTCTGTTATGCAGGTTTTCTATTTATCTGCCAAAGGGGGAGATTGTAAGTACGGAAGATTGGTAGTAAACCGACAAAGCTTCATCTGCTATCAGGTTCAGACTTCACACAGATATTTAAGGGAAGTTTATTTTAAATTACCGGGATTAGGTTCTATTACTTCGCTTATTGGTTATTACTTATATATGCTTTATTATGGCAGGTCAAATGAAATGGGATCATGATGCACATTCCATATATGACTACCTACCAATATGCGCGAGATCAGATCAAGCAACCTGGATTTTCCATATTATGACATGACTTGGCTGGGAAGCTAGTGAAAGAACTTACCATATCGATGAGGATAAAAGGACGACGAGAGCATTTTTGAGGAGTACTTTTTTTTCACATACTTTTTTTTAAAAAGATAGTTTGATGTATCAGGCATCTGGAATTTTTTATTTTCTTTGAGTGATTTTTGTAAGTAAGGGTGATCATTGTTGAGAGAAAAAATACAGAGTATTCGGAGGTTCATTCTGTTTTTAGTTTAAGGGATTCAAACGTGAAAAACCACAAGGGATTTGTGGTCGGATAAGTAGTAGTGCAATACATTGTTCAAGTAGAGTGTAGAGGGAGTCTATACTGTAAACCCTTGAAGAATGAGTGAGTTGATTGCATTAATGAAAGAGATCCGAAGGGAGAGTGGGACGCTCTCCTGAAGGTTCAATTTTCAGTGAATCTGCTTCCGCAATTGTTTGAATCTTCATTTAGTTCAGTTTGGTTAACTTGTATGCAACTCTGGACACTTGGCTTACAAGTATCAAACTTTATATATATATAGGGTGGATCAAATGCTACCAGCTCTTAAAATGCGGATAACTCTTAGCAACTACTGACAACTAACCTAGCAACTACAGAGAACTAACCTACCTACTACTAACCTAGCAACTACAGAGAACTAACCTACCTACTACTAACTTAGCAACTACAGAGAACTAACTTAGCAACTACAGAGAACTAACCTAGCAACTACAGAGAACTCACCTAGCAACTAGTAACCTAGCAACTACAGAGAACTAACCTAGCAACTACAAAGAACTAACTTAGAAACTACAGAGAACTAACCTAGCAACTACAGACAACTAACCTAGCAACTACAGACAACTAACCTAGAAACTACAGAGAACTAACCTAGCAACTACTAACCTAGCAACTACAGAGAACTAACCTAGCAACTAGAGAGAACTAACCTAGCAACTACAGAGAACTAACCTAGC